GAGTGGGAAGTTAACCACCCATCTCAATAGCAGGGAATCCTGGCGCCCCTCCTTTCTCAGGAGGGTCACATTGTCCAGCCCCTCTCCCACCGGTGTAATCCTTTCTACTGGGACAAAGGGCCACAGAGGTACATTAACCCACCAGCCAGTGAGGCCTCTGACCCGAGCGGCAGAGCCGCGTTCATCCGGCCCGGGTGTAACAGCTACCGGCACTCGGCACTTCAAAGCCCAGAGTTGAGCTCGTGTGTGCTGTTACTTATTCATGCGGGCCTGGGAGACAGTCCACGGAGATGAAACGGCAGTGGCGAGGAGACCCACTGATGTGCAGAGTGGAACAGCTCCCCTGTGGTCTCAGTAAGGAGTTAGAAAAGCCAGAGCCGACGCTGGTTGGTGCTGTGATCTATGTCGCAGCGCTGAGGGGATATCTGGCCCCTACATCAAACATCTTGTCCCAATAATGCGGCCTGTTATCAGAGCGAGAGATGCCCACAGCTTGGCTTTAGCCGACTGTGTGCTGTACTGTGATCTGCCGGAGCTTGTGATGTGGAGATTATGTCGGACAGAACGACGACGTGTGAATTGAATAGACTGCAGAAGAACGAAATTGCAGTGTTGTTGATCTTAAAGCACTTAATATGAAACAGAATGATTGTTTTCAAACTGGTCTCCTGAGTCAAGCCTCATCTTGCTATTGGTGGGTTAAATGGGTAGACACGCCCCTGCTTTTATAGCATTGGTTGTGCTGTTGCTATGAGACTGCTCAAACAAATAGAGGAGTTTTGACTAAAGTCCGGCTTACATGTGTGATTTTTAGCCACAATCAAAAGGTTATTATAGTTAACGAAAATGAACGAAAAGCGAAAACTAGAATTTAAAATCATTTTTGTTTACTGAAATAAAATAAAAACAAGAACTAACTAAAACTGTATTGTGTACACAACTAGCTGAAATTAACTAAAATTATAGCAAAAACGTCCTTCGTTTTCGTCTTTGTGAATGTATTTAATACAGACTGTAAGCCTTTTAGAAGTAAATCTATTTACTTCGCGCTGCCAGACCTCAGAGTCTGTAATCCTAATGCCATTGGCCAGATCAAGCCGGTCCTCCTCCAGTCATCCTCACTGTTGATCCCGCAACAACAACAACAAGTGGACATGACAGCAGCAATGTGACAACATTAAATACAACCCGTACAGTGACCTAAAAGTAGTGCTCTTGATCTGATCACAAACGAATCATTCTTTTTAACCGGATCTTCAAAGTAAACAATTAGAACTGAATCATTTGAAGTGATTCGCGCCTCCAGTAAGCACTTTTATCCATAAACTACTTACCCCCTCTTTTCCCGAGTTATTCAGTTATTAGAACAGTACACTGAGATCAGATTTGAGAGCCAGTAAGCTGATAATACTGCACATGCGTGGTTCAGCAGGTGAACCAAACACACAGTACACGACAGCCTGATTTGACTGAAGTAAACTTGAACAATAGCAGTGCGGGTAAACCAAGGGCTTAAATGAGAGGATCTGGCGAAAGTAAGTTTATTTCAAAACAGATAGTCGTAATGGAATTTAAATAAGTGAATCGTGCTTCAGTTGGGTTGCAAAACGTTATTGTAAGAAACTTTTCAGATAGTAGTAATGCTTTAACTGGCTTAAATTATGATTGCTGACTATATCATTTTGGTATGTTAAGTCCAAACATGGGAGGATCTATTTCGTGTTAAAGATTCAAACTCATCAGCAGAATAGCCTAGTGGTTAGCGTGCCGGCATATGGTGCAGTAAAAAAAACTAATCAAATATTTGCCACAATTTGGTTGTCTGAGCAAATTTGGAAAATCCTAAAAATACACTTTCCCACACTGTGACTTCAGCTGTTACAAGAAATGGGAGTTATGGTCATACAGTCATCATATCAAGATTTATTTTTATAGACTATCAGTTATCAATTTCCAAATGTAAAGCATTATGGGTTACTGTATCCTACCAAATTATATTTAACAGTATTTAAAACACAAAAAGGATAAAAAAAATAAAAAAAACTCAACTCAACTTTGCTCATCATTTCTGTTGAACTGTTGTTTTAAGTTTTTCCCTGCACTTTTATTTAAGTACAGTTGAAGTAATAATTATTAGCACCCACCCCTTTAAAGCAAGGAAATTTTCGGAGTATGTCTGAAAATATTTTTTATTTTGTAGAAAGTCTTGTTTCTTTTATTTTGGCTAGAACAAAAGCAGTTTTTAATAAAAAATAAAAAAAAACATTTTATAGTTAAAATTATTAGCCCCTTAAAGCTAACTTTTTTTTTGATAGTCTACAGGACAAACCATCGTTATACAATAACTTGCCTAATTACCCTAACCTGCATAGTTAACCTAACCTAGTTAACCTTTTAAGCTGTATAGAAGTGTCTGGAAAAATGTCTTGTCAAATATTATTTACGGTCATCATGGCAAAGATAAATTAAATCAGTTATTAGAGGTGAGTTATTAAAACTATTATGTTTAGAAATGTGTTGAAAAAATAAACGGGGGCTAATAATTTAGACTTCAACTGTATATAAACCTATGTATACATTTCAATGAACAAAATGTGTATCAAATTCTTCTTCTCTCTCCATGGGCTGCTCTAAACGCAGGGGGTGTGTCCTTAGCAGGGCCGCGCCCCCACTGCCCTGCCGTCAGTCAAAGACGGAAGAGGAGGTAAGGTTGCCATGGGAACAAATGGTCTGTGTTAACCAGGAGGGAAACAAACAGTAGTGTTTCATAAAGTAGTGTTCTTGAAAAGCAGGCTTGGTGTTGGGCAGAAGATGCCTTGAAACTATGGCTCCTTTGAAATGGGATTGTGTATTTTTGTTTAAGGGCAAAACTGGTGCCATTTAGTTGTGTGTACTGATGCTTTATTTCAAGTGTGTTGTTGTGAGAATGTGGAGTGATCATAGATTTTGCCGAGATCTTCTTAAGCCTCTGCAACGTAGCATAGGAACTCACAAGGGCAGATTGATTGGCCTTGCTGTTGTAAAAGTGAAAGGCAAGGCTTTGGTATCTTTTTCTTTAGCAAAAAATCGTTTTTTGTCAAATACAGTCCTTGGATTCTTTAGCTTTTCACAAGTATTGCACATCTGTAAAATATTTAGAGCTCATGTTAAACTGTGTACAAGATACAGTGGAGATTGAAGAACATGTTTTTAGCAAACAAGAATTAAGAACTTCCTTTTATTTTTTTGAATGCATCATGATACACATCTTCCTTATATGAGATGTATTGACTTTAATTACTGATTAAAATATGTGTACATCGATGCTAATTCTTAGCACACAAAGGCAAAGCTTTTCTGCAAGCCACATTTTTAGCATTAGATGGGAACTTAGGTTATTATTTGAGAATCAAAAAGTCCAACACAAATCAGAATATGATCTCAAGAGTAGGATCTCAATGTCTTTGGTGGACCCTGGCCAGCATATTTAGATGGTTTAACCTGATATCTGCAATATTTTGCTTGCTGAACTATATTGCACAGTTGTCAGATCTTCTTTTTCGGCTTTTCCCTTCCCTTCTCCTCCTTTCTGTCTTGCTCCCCACGTGGACACCGAGATAGGGAAGCTGTACATCTCGCGGTAGTTGGATGTCAGTGGCGTACCTGATCTCGTTCATGAGGCGACTGCAGCAGTGCCCTCCCTCTTTCGCTCTCTCGTATTCTCTCACGCTCTCTCTTGTAAGCTCCCTGAATAAATTTTTTTTTATCCATCGCCACACAGTTTCATTGTTCCCCTGTGCTTTGTAACTATGGCAGGCATGAAATGCACCTAAACGCAGAAAGCAGCTTCCCAGCCCCAACCTTCAAACCCGTTCCCTCCGCCTCTTCTCCCCGTCCCCCCTTCAATAATATTTATAGTGCAATCTTTTTCTCACCCCCATCTTCTTTTTAGGGATTCTTTTTCTTTTTCACAAGTCCAATGCCATGCCCCGGCCCCCACCGATTCCCCCTTTTTTTTGCCCCATCCCTCTCCCTTCGAGCTGACAGATACACTGTTCTCTCTTTCTTCGCCTTTCACCTCCCTCCACCCGTCCTGCCGGTCCGGCACAATGCCGACGCTTTCTCCCGCGGCCGGCCGAACGCTGCCCTGAACTAACAATATCAGCGAGGCTGTCTCAATGCCAGGGAGCCCCATTGTGTGCTGCCAGAGGGGTGTTAACACCCATGTCTGGACCCAATGAATAGTATTATTGTGTCTGAGACATGCAGCTCGCCCCCTCGGTAGCACCCTGCCCCCCAACTCTGAAGTGGTCCCCCATTTTTCAGCACTTAACTCACTTTAGACCAACGTCATTTTTGTCGAGGTGAAACTTTCAGCTTGAAGTTTCTTTTAAAAGAAATATAGATTTAAGGTTATACCAATTATCAAGTTCCCACAATCAACTAAAATTGTCATGTTTCTACCGCCCAAAAAATTGCAGAAAATCCTAAAGATTGAACTTTGAGTGAAATATCTTTAAAGATGCGAACTTACAGGAAATTAATTAGTCAAGTTTGTTTTTCATCTTTTAAATGCACAATCCATAAAGTCATGTCCTACTGAACTAATCTGCATGGCAATTGGATTCTGATATCATTTACATAATTTTAGGAAAAGCTAAAAGGAAAACAAGAAAACATTGTCATCGTCTGTGAGGTTTACAAGTACTGTAGCTTACTTAGCGCTTGTGTAAAGTCCCGGTTTTGTCCGCTGAATGGGGGAAGCATCAGCATAGGGGCTCTAAGTGCACTTGGCAGACAGTTTCTTTCAGCCTGACATGCTTAACTCAAAAAATCTCCTGCCTCAGCCTTTTTTTCATTCCAAGGTTACAAAGTTCACATTACTAACTGAGAGCAGATGCCAAAACATTCACCTTGCACATCTCCCTGATCAAAGCTGCGGATTGACATTTGCAATGGGCAAAACGCTGAAAGTTAAGCTAAACTTGTTTTCTCTCTCTCCCTCACTGTTGTTTTGGCAGGAGTCGGAAGACGAGCAGAGAGTGGGAGTAGCGATAGTGGTGGAGGAGTGAACCCGGAGCAGGTGAACACAGCTGCGGACCGCCATGGGCTCTCTTCCATCGGTCCCGACTCTCCGTCTTCAGGTCTCTGAGAGACGGCAGGGGCCAGCCAGGGAGCGTCGGAGTGGGCAGGAGAGGCAGCTCGCTTTCCCCGCCGGCTACCGACTCCTCAGCAGCGAGGAGGGAGAGAAATCAATACTGAGGAGAGATGCTGCCAGGGGTCGCCCAACGCTGCCTCCAGCCATGGAGCCATGGGAGCTCGTGTGTTCAGCTTTCTCTCTCTCAGCCCATTCTCAGTCAACTAGCATCAGCTAAAGAGAGGGCCAACAGCCTTGACGCTCTTCATGCAACGCCGAGTGTGTGTGTATGCGTGTGTGGTTCTGCCAGAGGGCCTTTCCAGGCTCAGCATCACTTGATAAAACTTTGCCTGCTGGAGAATGAGTAGAAAAAGAATGTCAAAGGTCTTTTTTTCCCCCGTCTTTGATTCCTTTTTCGCCATGAGTGCACATTCCCCCTGACTGTTGTAATGAGTGCTTGACGGAGATCTCTTTTACGCTAAATCAAGAGGCCTTCTTTTTTTAGTGGTCCTCCTCCTAAGCATGCACAAAGTGCTCTACACCTGATGGGCCAGGATGAGAGAGCAGTATGAATCCTTTTTCACCTTTTCCACAATGGTTTTTACATGATTTTCTTTTTTTTTTTTTGATGGCAGTCACTATTCGAGTGGCCTGGAGAAGGACTTGGCTTTGATTTGTAGGTGAAGGGCTTGGCACTTACTCTCCCTGGGCACTTCGCAACGGCTTTCACCCTTGACCGTGGCACTTGATGGGTATTAATAATGTTGCGGACCAATGGAGGACACAGTGAGATGGAGCTTGTGCACAAGTTCTACAAAAGTTGCTCCTGCATGACCAGAGATCCAATTGGATGTGGACAACTGAAAATGCAACTTTAACAAGATGCTAACATTTTTATAACTGGATAGTTCCAGTATTCTTGGATGCCCAACGAGAACCAGTTAAATTTGGTAAGGAAATATTTTACTAATCTTCTATGCATGAGTTAATTAACGTCAGCTTAACGCTCCGTTCTAGCTGCCGGGATGTCTTGTTTGAAGGTCCTGATTTGTATTATGTAAAACAAACGAAGTGCCAGACGATTATAAGATACCCGCCATCCCGTCTAGCCTCCGCTGGGCAGCGCCTTCGACAAAATGGCCGACGATGCTTGCCAGCTGTCTCCCTGCCAAGATGGCGGCACCTTAAACGCTGCCCATCTGCCTAATCAAGGGCCCGTATGCAGATTCCAGATAATTGCATTTGCATATGCTTATTTCGCTTAACCGTTATTTGGTAGGATCAGTAATTCACACCGCCTTTGAACAGGCTGGGCATATGTGCTCGCTTCCTTTATCACTTGTATCCTTTTACAGTCTGCCCGTCTTCATGTTAAGCTGTAGTAGTGCTCTGTCATTCGAAATGGGAGAAAAATATGGCGTTAACACACACAAAGCATCTGATGCCGGTGCCATCTGTGACATCTGTGACTGGGTAGTCGAGCTACGTAAATCCCTCACTCGCAGGGCCCGGTTCCAGACAGCCTCCCATAATGACCTCATTAGCATGCACAGCACTCCTCACCGTAGGCCCTGGTGCACTGCTGTGCCGTGGGACCCGACAATCCGCGCCCTTCACACAAACGCTCGCCGGGCAACATTGTGTTCCTCCTTACAATACAAAACTTCACACTTGTTTTATTACAATCATGTCAGCGGAGCTGAAGATCTGAAAGGAGCTTAGGCAGTTAGCCTGCCTGCTTGGGGAGATGTCTGTGTACAATGTGTGTTGGTTTTTAGCGAGGGTGATGAAGAGGTTGTTGAATTGATTCAGATTTGACCAATTTTAGTCATTTAAATTTTTTGTGGGAAAACATCTCCCTTTGTAGTAGTCATTATTGAGTATAGAGCTGTGCGATTAATCGAAATTGAATCGCAATTGCGATTTGAAACGTTGCGATTATCTGATCGCAAGAGGCTGCGATATGAAAAATGTGTTATTTAATTTTTCCCACCCAGAGCAAATACGTGCATGGCGTGTGTGTGTGTGACAGTTTTCCTAGCCAATTGAGTGCGCTCACTTTCATTCTGCCCAATCAGAATTGCGCAACGAACTACGTGGAACACCCACAAAAACAACAAAAACAAACAAACAGGAAAGCGCGGACGAGTGGGATGATGGCGTCTGCCGCTTTAGAAGCATTAATAGATTCATTAATATCAAAGAAAAACAGGACATCGGTAATATGGGAATATTTTGGATTCAACGTCAAAGTATATTCAAGTTAAATGTTTTGATAACATTTGTATTTCGCGTGCATTTACTGCTCGCAATGCAGGTATGTGCGTCATCTGGAGTGACTGACTATAATGTAATGTACTAAACAAATATAATTTGTCAATTCATTTTTAACAGTTATATATATATACATTAGTTGCAGAATTTTAAAGCAGTTTAACGATTTAAATGCTTCTTATTGGCTGTTTCATCATTCAATGTGACTATACGCATGACTTCATGGAGAGCTTACGACCTTACTAACTACGGTTTGCTTTAAGAACATGTTAACAAATTTAGTTACAAACTAGCTAGTAGTTACGAAGCCCCTAGTGTCGACTTTACCTTCCAGTTTAAGAAAGAACTTACAAACCCACCAAGGAGATAACTAATGGCAAGCGCACTACCTCACAAAAGACACTGTGCCTTTGAATGCAGTGACCAAAGAGGGATTTTAAAAAAAAACCAGGAGGATAAGAGATACACTTCCGTCTTTCTGCCTTTTTTAGCCATTTTGGAGTACCACAACAGTACGTTTAACATCAAGATATTTTGTGTAGTATCTAGTATAGTTATTTAGTTTTAGACAATAAAAGACTATACAGAAAGGCTCTTATCAGCCATAGAAGTTTGCTGAGTGTTTTGTTTGTTTATAATTGTTTTTTTAATGTATAATAAGCTACACTATCTCCCTAATTTGAGTTCAACTTGTTTACAGAAAGATAAGCTCAAATTATTTGTGCTTACTGTTACCTTTTTTAACTAACACTCATTTTTAGCAGAAAGAAGCTATGATACAGATTATTCAGCTGAATCTTGACTACAAAATTAAATCGCAATATCTGTCAAAAAAATTTTATTGGATATTTTCCCCAGATCGCACAGCCCTAACTGAGTACATGCATTCGAGGCTCAGAAGATACATTAATGTGTATTTAGTTTAATGTGCAGATTAGTTGTACAAAAAATGCATGACGCAAACTAGTGATGCAAGATTATCAGTCAAATCATTATTTGCTAATAAATGCCTCTTTTCAATGTTTTTATTTACAGACGGTTAAGAGAAAAAAAAAGTTTAATAGTTATCTCTGCTTGTTGATCTGCTGTGTTCTGCTTGTGTTCGCTGTAGGCCATAAGGTCAGCAGGGGGCTCAACCTGCGGTCTGTGGGGGTCCTAACACCCCAGTATAGTGAAGGGGACACTATACTATTCAGATGAGACGTTAAACCAAGGTTCCGAATCTCTGTGGTCGTTAAAAATCTCAGGATGTCCTTCAAAAAAAGAGTAGGGGTTTAACCAAATTTGCCCACTGGCCTCTGTCCATCATGGCCTCCTTACCATCAACGATGTTGACTAGTTTCTGCACCTTGCAATTTTAGGTTTTCATTATATTGTAACACACTGAAATTAAGTTGGGTTGGCCAGAGCTGTGCTGTGATAGCAATATATATATCGTAAAGACGGTTTAAGAATCTCCCCTTTAAAACATGACAAAGAATCTCAAATATTTGTTTTGGGCGGCTATTATGGACATTTGAGCAACTTTACACTTAATTTAAATATTAAATATTTAGATTAATAAATATGCTTATTGTACAGCTTTAGATGTAGCTCATCTCATAAGATTTTAAGGCCAAAATAACCATTCGCCTTTCTGTTTTTCAATCTAGCTTTGCCCTTGTAAATCTAGCATGTTGGATGCTAGTGATGCTAACGGTGCCGTTAGTCATCAAGAATAACATTTGTGCTTCATAGGTGTGATATGTAATTTGGGAGGGGTGATTCTGTTGGAATTGGAGCAGTTAAATTTAGGGGTTGGTTTGGTTTGGGGGGGGGGGGTCTGCTCATGCGTCTGTCTGGACAAGTTGATGTCTAAAACGCATATTAGCAGCGGAGTGGTACGTCTGGGTCAGTCCGTCTGCATTCGTTCCATATTTGCATATTTACAACAGCTGGGGAGCCCATATGTTTCAGCCAGACCCAGACAAAATAATATATAGCCTGACATGCTAACAATGCTACCACACCCCATGGTCCCCCTAAACAAATACACACATACACACACTGCAAATCTTGTGCCCTTCGAGATCTCTATGCAACACAAATATAACCCCCTCCCACCTGGAGAAACCAAAAAGCTTTTATGCTAATCGCAGCGTTAGCCATGCGTGTGAGTACACAAGCGCAATTATGCATAATTCAGCACAAAGCTTGGCAGGGAAGCTGAGTACAGTAAATCCTGTTAGTAGCAACGTAAAGGCGGGAAAGAGAAGGAGGGAACAGAGGGGCGAGTGTTACGCCCTTTAGGTGCCAGAATAAAGGCCACGTTTTCACCACAACCCAGCGATATGTTAACCTCTCATCCCATATCGTTCAGTTGTGGAGGGCGGTGTGCGATTTGTTCATATTAGCTTTGTCCTTTCTGTGTGGAGATTAAAAGACAATCAGGCTCAGATTAAAAGATTAGCTACCCAAATTTGAATTCTATAATCGTTTATGTGTTTGACAATTGTTTATGGAAACAAATAGATTATATTACAAATATTACATTTTAGTTGATGGCTAATAAACAATGAAAAAATACTAACTTTTATTTTATTCTATTTTATTTTATTTTAAGCGTTTTATTTCCTTGATAAAACTGGAAATAAACCAAAAGAAAGTTATTTTGTTTATTATTATTATTATTGTTATATTATTATTTTTATTATTATTTATTTATTTTTTATATCAGAGGTGCCTTTGATTATGTTAGGTAAGGGCTATCAAGAATTGTTTTTATTTATAACATGAAACCATATTTATTTTTATTTGTTTTGTTTTGATTAATTTATTCATGAAGAATTTCAGTTAAATTATTAGAGCTGCCTTTTGTTATTTCATTTAAAAGCTACCAAGCTTAAGTTGCATGATATTACAATATAAAGCCAGATTTTGTTTTATATTTAGAAGCTTTCATGTAAATGATTAGAGCTGGTTTTAATTACTTTATTTAAGAGCTACCAAGCTTCAGTTGTTCTTATGGTACATAACCTTATTTTATTTTGTTTTATATTATTTTATTTTATTTTATCAAATGGCTTTCAGGTTAAATATTAAACCTTTTTAAAACTATTATTATTTTTTCATACTTTTACAAGTATTTTTTACTTGAGCTGTATACATGAAACTAGGTATTTATTTGATTTAATTTTACTCATAAAGCTTTCATGTAAATCTCTAACTAAAATACAACATAAATCACAATATTTTCTTTTGTTAAATTGAAGCTTTTAGGTTAAATATTAAACATTTTTAAATGTATTTTTTTTTGTTAGAGGTACCTAGCTTCAGTTGTTCTTACAGTACGTAGCCTTCCTTTGTTTTATTTTATTTTATCAAATAGAAACTTTTAGGTCAAATATTAAACCTTTTTAAAATTATTATTTTTTATACTTTTGCAAGTATTTTAACTTGTGTTGTATATACAAAACTAGATACTTATGTGATTTAATTTTACTCATAAAGGCTTTTGTGAACATTTTTACATTATTGTATGTAAGAACTACCATGCTTGAGTTAAAAATACAACATAATGTTAAATTTTATTTTATTTTATTAAATGGAAGCTTTTAGGTTAAACATTAAAACTTTTTAACGTTTAAAAAACGTTTTAAATGTATTATTTTAAGTTAAAGCCAACAAACTTCAGTTGTTCTTACAGTACATAACCTTATTTTATTTTGTTTTATTATTTATTTATTTATAAAAAAAAATTTTTTTCATTGTATTAAACGGAAACTTTCAGGTTAAATTTTAAACCTTTTAGAATTTATTATTATTATATTTTATACATGTGCAAGTATTTATTACATTAGATGTATACTTACAACATGAAAAACTTATTTTTATTTTATTTTATTTTGTTGTAAAGGCTTTTGTGTAATTTTTTTTACATTATTTTACTTTAATTTTAATTATTATTATTATTATTAGAACTGTTTTTTTATGTAAGAGCTACCAAGCTTCAGTTGTTCTTACTATGTATAATACTATTTTATTATATTTTATTTTATATACTCGTACAAGTATTGATTACGTGAGATGTATACTTACAACATAAAACAAAAAACAGATTTTTATTTTATTTTATTCTTCTCATGAAGGCTTTTGTGTAAATTTTTACATTATTTTACGTAAGAACTACCATGCTTGACCTAAAAATACAACATAAAACCACATTTGGTTGTATTTTATTTCCCACAGCCTTTCAATAAATTGATCAGAGAGGCCTTTTTTATTACATGTTGTAACAGTGACCAGTTTTAGGTTGTTCTTCTAACATGAAACAACACTCCTTCTGGCTGTCTTACATACTCACTTGTAAACCTTTTACACTTTTACCTTGAAGGCCGGAAAGTCTTAAAGCTTAATAACTGGCCTGAATGAGAGTTATCCTGGCCTCCAACACTCTCTATCGAATCATAAAAACAACCACAATCCATTCCCTGCAGGTTTGCAATTAGCTCTTTTATCCTTTTTCTGTTGAACACAAAAGAAGATATTTTAAAGAATGTTGAAAACTGGTAGTCTTCATTGAGTTGCATAGTATTTTTTTCCTGCTATGGAAGTCTGTGTGTACTAGTTATCAACATTTGTCGAAATAGCTTCTTCTGTGTTCAACGGAAGAAGAAAAAAACGCATAAAGGTCTGGAACCACATGAGGGAGATGTAAATTGTAAGTACATTTACATTTTTGGGTGAATTTTTCATTTAAATAATACCCCTTTACACTGTTTTTACATTCCACGAAAGCTGTAGCATCACACAAGAGTATTGCGGTTTCCCTCTGTGCGTATTATATGCTTAATGTTTTAATGTTAGCCGTGCCTCAGCGCCGTCTCACAGTTATGAGGTGGTTTCTATGCTCTGAGTGCCCGCTGCTTTTATTTGCTTGGTTATTGATTGAATGTGGTCCACCCACAGAAGTAATAGTTGCTAAAAGCATTTATTGGCACTGCTCAGTTCTGCCAGGGCGATATGCAGTTTTTTTTCCTATTTGATTTTGTTCCACCTGTGTTCTGACAAGTGGCTAGCCAGGCTAAAGGCTTCTGAGGGAATTTGGAAACGCATTCAAGTCTGCATATTCGTTAGCATGCATATTTGCAAGTGGTTTTTATAATACTTTATCCAGTCTTGTCTGTTTACACAAAGCATTCATTGACATTTTTGTATTAAATCTCTCGGTAAATTATGCTAAGTGTTGATTAGCATTTAGCATGTTACTATGCTAAGTATATGCTATATTTGTGAATAAAAAAACTTGTGCGACAGATTTTTTTTGTTGAGATTTTTACATACTAAACTGTTTGCTATCTAATGCTTAGCATACCACAAAAAAAGTAAATAAAACACTGGAGTAGTTTATCGTAAAAAGTAAATGTGTACCACACTATAGTAAAGGTAATTATATTGTTATATATAATATATATGTTTATATTGTACTATTTACAACTCTTTGTTAATGATTGCTACTAAAGTTGTCACGATACCATCAATTCAGGCCACAACATTATACCAGCTGAAGTATCACAATATCAAGTAGTATAACGATACTGTATTAATTCATAACTCAAATCTACGAAATAAAGCAAATTGTCAGAAATACTATATTTTACATGTCATAATACTTATATTCAATTCGGAATTCCCTTATTATTTAAAACGTAATATTTGTTTATTTTTTTGCATATACTGTGACTCTTTTGTTGTTATTGCAATAAAGTAAATAAATAAATAAATCATTGATCACGCCATATGATCTGTCATGACAGTAGCAAACTACAACCCCTATCAGTGTTTCCTCTAGGATTTTTTTCCAGATGTGAGCAGAAAACCAGAAAAGCATGCAAAATCACCCCTTGACGTTAGATGGTGCTGCACAACTTTAAACTTCTGACACCGGCTTGTAACACAGAAGAAGAAGACAAAAAGTTTACACGCTTGTTCTTAAAGTTACTGGTGATTTGAACAAGCAGGGTTCAAGTAACAGCTCCAGCTCTATCAATGAAGAAATTATTAATTGTTCACCAGTGCAATAAGCAGCTCCTCGTTGATATCGCCTTTGGGTGTCTTCTTCAATGTGCGTTCGTATTGACAGTTTTGTGCTCGAGCGCCTCCAAGTGCTGTTTACTGTAACTTCAGCAGCTCCGTGCATGTGAACTAACGTTGATTGGTGGAGAAGACATGTCAAAACAAACAAAACAAAAACAAGCATGAGGCGTTTCTTTGAAAATGACGCTTTTATGGCTGGCATTCTGCGCGTTGGTGTGCACGATCACATTATCGCCCTTTATTTAGTCACTAGGCATTAAACGTCAACGGAAAATGCGAGCAAAAGGCGTCCCGGTGTGAACGGGCCTCAACAGTATTTAAGTACAGTAACTGAATGATAAAAATAAAAGCAATTTAATAAAATTAATCGTTGTTAAAGTCACAAGTGGTACATTTTCTTATGCCTAAATGCTTTTAAAATCATTATACAGTTCCAGGGATTAAAGTACATGCTAATTATGAAGTATAATACAAACTCAACATTGCTTATAATCCTGCAATGTGTGTATTGTGAATTATCACACTGCGATATCAATGCTGAAGCCATATACTGTGCAGCCCTAACCTATAGTTGTAGAACATCTGACTTGTCCCCTATTTTTAAAGATAGGTAAACTTGCTAAATGTATAAGTAAGCATTTTGTTGCTTATATGAGTTTTAATATCTTGTTTTATTACTGTTTTAGTTGTTTATTTTACATTTTACCCTCTTTAGTTCTTAAAATAAACAAAATTGGCAACATGCTAGCTATCATTATCTTGGCGTCTTTTCTGTAATACAAAAAAGTAGGGCCTACAATAAATATACAATAAAAGAAAAATACATTGTTAAATAGCTGCTTCATTAGTGCATTTATCCAGTTAAATGGATAAATGTGTACATTTATCCGACAATGTGTACATTTATGTGTACATCCACCGAATTGGCTCTATCACTGTCACTTCACTCCACCAATAGCTAGTGTGTGGTGAGCGCACTGGCGCCGTTGTCCTGTGGCAGCCGTCGCATCATCCAAGTGGATGCTGCACACTAGTGGTGGTGTGGAGAGACCCCCCCCTCTCACGATTGTGAAGCACTTTGGGTGTATGGCCATACACAATAAATGCGCTTTATAAATACACATTACATTTACTACTACTACATTATTTCTGAGGTTAGCACCGGCATCAGTCACAGTGAGGTGTATGTGAAGGCTGCGCCTGACCATCATCCAGCCCTAATATTTACTAAATGATTTTTGTTCACAGAACTTTATATATTCATCTGATTGATTAGCAAGTCAACATAGGATTTAATATTGTGCTCTTTTTAGGATCAAATGTGATATGCCTGAATTTTCACATCTGTGCTGCATCTACAGAGCAAGAGTGGAAAAGAGCTGCTGGCCCTTTAAAACAGGTTAGCGTCGACTGCGGCTGATTACAGTCGGAAGGGAAAACAGGCGTTTATCCAAGCCACTGATTATGTCATTTTTAAGCCCCCAAAACACAGCGCTGCGTGCGGAGTGTGTGGGGCGCAGAATTATGAAGCGAGGAGTAGATTGTGTGAAGGAGAGAGCGGGAAATGGGAATGGAGTGCTGTTTGTATGATTAAACTGTCGGCTTGGTGGCACAGGCCACGTTGAAGAGCCGGGCCTGAGATTTGACCGTAATGAAAATGCCCCCGAACTGCAACCCCCCCTCCCCCCACCCTTTCAAAACGTTGCTTCAGACCAGCCTCGGGTCTGTCCATACGCTGAGAAGAGAAAGGAGACGTGGAACAAGATAGACAGACAGGCAGAAGAGAGGGAATGAGAAAGTAGCCTTCCGTAGCAAATGGTTTCGTGGCCGCACGAGATGTAGACAGAAAGCAAAGACGTGGGGTGAGCGCTTGAACAAGTAAACTTCAAATTAGTGTTGACTTTTTTTTTTTTTTTTTGTGATGTACCTTTTATTTTACCATTAAAGGCATAGTTCAGTGAAAAATGAAAAAAGACTCGCCCTCATTAAAAATCTGTTTGAATTGTTTCAAAACAAAGGATAAGATGAGAAATGTATCAGTGCTTTTTTTTTAGCTCAACAGGCCTGTAGCTAGCCTGGTGAAAGGGATGGTTCTTTTTTTTCTCAAAAAGTGGACCTTTTGTGGTTATAGGCTTCATTTAGGCTACTATTTAATTATGAAATTTAAATACTGCATTTTAGTGGCATTTCAAGCACTATTTTAGCTGAAATAGATTGTCTGATGGTCATCATAACCAAAAAAAGTACATTCGAAAATCCATGAATAACAACTATAGCCAAAATAGTATTCAAATTCATTTTAAAATGGGCCACTTTTGGTGCTTCACACCTTTTCTTTGGTCATTTTTTGTTCTAAGATTTAGAATAAAAGTTAGTTGTAAAATATTTTCTCTATTTAAAAGCAATACAGTTGTGAAAGTTGACTTCACTTTATCACATTTTCTGTTTTCTTGCATAGCTGGATGTTGGTCTCATGAAAAATAATTGTGCACTGACCAAAACTGATTAGCTGAAGTCACGCTGAAGCGACAGCCGACAGAGGATTCCACTTGTTCTTAAAACTGTTATTTTTACTTATTGTGATTGCATTGCAGTCAAAAGTAGGGCAAATGAGCTCATGTTTGGGACAAATTCTGGACCTTTGTCAGTGAGGGGTGGGTCTTTCAAACCACCTGGTTACAGGCCTGTTCAATATGTTCAAGTTTGAAATGGCATGAGGGCGAAAGACAAAACAAAAACCTTAAAGAGCGTTCACACAGAATCATGCTTTAATCTGGTTTCACGTCACATTTGAAATACATTCATCAACATCAGATATATTCGATTTACCACAAAATGTGAATCAAATATGAGTCGCATTACCTCCCTCCCTCCTAAAAAAATCAGCTTTCTGCCTTAAATACTTACAATTTCAGCATTCACACTGACACGTTTAGTCTGCTTTCACACCACATTTGGATTGCATTTACACTAGATTTGATGTCTCTTTTTTTGTGTGACCAAATACAAACATATAATATTTGCTGCTTTGTGTCTGAAGAAAGGGGTGGCACGGTGGCTCGATGGTTAGCACTGTCACCTCACAGCAAGAAGGTCGCTGGTACGAGTCCCAGCTGAATCAGTTGGCATTTCTGTGTGGAGTTTGTATGTACTCCTCGTGTTTGCGTGGGTTTCCTCCGGGTGCACCGGTATCCCCCCCAGTCCAAAGTCAAAATTGACCATAGTGCATGAGTGTGTGTCTGTGAATGTGAGTGTATGGGTGTTTCCCAGCACTGGGTTGCAACTGGAAGGGCATCCGCTGTGTAAAACATATGCTGGATAAGTTGGCCACTCATTCCTCTGTGGTGAACCCTGATGAACAAAGGGACTAAGCCGAAGGAGAATGAATGAATGTCTGAACAAAGCGTTTATTTAAAGAGCTGTTCACACCAAGAACGATAACGATAACCATCACATTTTAGCAGTCACTCCGATTCAGTATATAAAATATAAACGCAACATATTTGACAACTTTAATTTTTCAGCTGATGAATGATTAAAACATTCACTGCAGTTCAGAATAGACTCAAATTTAAAGAGCCTAGCCTGCAAAGACTCCCTCAACATTGTCTCGTTGAAGTGTGGGAACGTCTAAAAGTGTCAAATATTCAGTGATTCGCCGGCTAGACGCTCCAGCTGCTCTATTCAGCTGCAGGTGAAGAAGGACCCTAGAGGTCAAGGTCAGGGGGGGTTTGTTGTATGATCAGACATCTCGCTGCACCCCGAAACGAATTTGACTAGCAATTAAGGGGGTGCGTATTAATGCAACATCTTTTCATTAAAAAAAGGATGTTACTTCAAAAAATGAGAATTTACTGACTTAAACTTTGTTTTTTCCTTTATTAATGCAAGAAGATATTTTAAAGAATATCAGAAATGGCAGCGGTTCATTCCACTTTGATGACCCCAGATTAATATTGGCATTAAGCCGAAAAGTAAATGTATGAATGAATGAAAATGGTAGAAAAAAATACTATTGAACTCAATTGCTTCCAACATTCTTCAAAATATCTTCTTTTTGTGTTCAACTGAATAAAGAAACTTAATTACATTTGAATTAAATAACAGTTTATAATAACAGAATTTGCATTTTTGGGTGAACTATCCCTTTATTTTGCATAATCACAAGTCTGCTTTAACGAAGGGCATTTTCATTGGTGGCATCATCGCCGGTTTTCTGTCCGTCTCCCGCAGTGTAAACAATGATACCCCTTTAAGAGCAGCGCTTTTCTTCCTCTCAACATGTTTCTCCAAAGAAACCAAGTTTTCTGAATAGCGGACGAAGACACAAGCCCACCCTCTGGACGATTCCATTATTCATCTCCACCTATGCTTCATTAGCTCAGCTGAAAAAAGTCCTCACCCCCTCCGTCCCGCCGTCTCAATGGACCCGTCCCCGTCTTTACCCCTCTTCCTTAATCGTCTCAAACTCGCGTTGAAATCAAGCTCAGAAACGCTGCTGTTTTGAGCCTCTCTCTCCTTTCCGGCTCATTCTCTCAACTCACACACACACCCACACCCACCCACTGCTTAAATCCCTATCAGCATGTCAACAAAATGTCCGCCCAGCTGGGGTTGACACTCGGTCTCCTCTGGGGCTCCGGCTGCTCCTCGCTGACCCGCTCCAGTTCTCGTGTTCATTTGTTTGTCTCTAGAGCTGCTCACACACACTCCAGTACATCAGCGTTGTTTAGAGTTTAATGAGGAGATGCTTCAGGACTTTATCACTATAGTGAGGTGGGCATCGGTGTGTGGTTGATAAATAATTGTAGTATTAATGAAAAAGTGGCTTCTGTCATAAGAAAGGGCCTTGAATATGGGTTGAAATATTTAAAAATAAAAATAAAATGTTAACAAGGGAATGAGAAACTTCTCAGTTAAAAATATCTCTTTATTATATAAATATGTGTGTTTTGTGTGTGTATACTATTAAAATGTCTTATTTTGTGATGCATGCACACACACACACAAATTAACATCATTTTTGAAAATAATTGACGCAGATTAAAACGTGACGGTGTGATTTCTCAAATCTTAGTTCAAAAATAATTTTGGCGGAGGTATTGCGGACAAAATAATACATGAAATCTGACATTTATGAGTGATTATTTTTATATTCGTGAAGATATTCATGTTACCCATTCATGATTATTATCATTATTATGCTACAAATAATAAATGAAAATAAGTCAAATGTGGTATGATAATAACGCAAATAAATAGCTGTGTGAGTGTGTGTGTGTTTAAAATATTTATGCTTAATATAATATTTATATATTATTATTTATATATTATCTATATTATTTTATATAATATTTATGCTTAATATAATATTTAATATAATATTTTAATAAATTAAAATAAGTAAAATATAGCATGATAATAAATAATACTAATAAATAACTGAGCATGTGTGTGTGTGTTTAAAATATTTATACATAATATAATATTTGTTTCTCTTGGTTTTAAAATAACGTAAGTTAATATAAGTAAGTATATTATAAATAAGAATATTAAATATACGTATAATGTATTAAATAATATAATTTATTACGTTTTAAGTCATTTCTGTTACTAATTTTGTTAATATTTGGTTATAAATGTATCAAAAAAAGTATAGAAGAGCGATAATCAATACATATTTATTACTATACTTTAGAAATTTTGTTTAAATAGAATACATTATTCATAATGTATGCATATTTTATGTCCATTGTAGAAATTGGCAGCTAATATATAGACTTCTGTTTGGATATTCAGTCACATTTAAAAATATATTTTGGGATTTTTTTATTATTGTTACTATTATTATTATTATTATTATTATTACTATTAGTTTTATTAATAATAATAATAATTATTATTATTATTATTGTTGTTGTTATTATTATTAGTAATAATAATAATAAAAATTAATCTGTCATTTTTACAGTGTATGTACATGTCCTCCTCCCTATTTTTACATATCCATTGACTTTGCCATTTTATAATATTCTAATGCGTCTTCCACCTCCCATCCTGCTTAGTGGCTCTTTTCCCATCTGGATTGTTCTGTTATGATTATATAATTATGGGATTGCAGTAAGATCGTGACACCATGCTGAACATGTGGCTGATTCAGTGGAGAAGCTGTCTGATCTGCCTGTATATTATGATATTCTGGACACTGTCCTGCTCAGTGGAGTCTCGGCGGTGCTTAGTATCTGCCAGCGTAGCACAATTTGCATGTAAATGTATTCAGATGAAGGCAAACACGCAGACCACCAGCTTTGCTGGATCTTGTGTACCAGAATACAGGTGTCTGTAAAAATGAGTCGCATCCTAGCAGTAGATTATGAGAAGACGACAAAGAAAAAGCCA